TATATATATATATATATTTATTATATATATATATATATATAATATATATATATATATATATATATATATATAATATATATATAAGAGTGGCAATAATTTGATGCCCTTAATCTGTGTGAGGTTGGCATCAGGTCGGCAGAAAAAATGTATTATTACCTGGATTTCCTTTGGTATATTAATAGCTCCATCAATATAAAGAATTTGAAATTCTTTTTGTCTCAACTGCTTAATAGACTTTCGAAAATGTTTTATCATATTTTTTTGATTCTGTAAACTAATAAAACTTTGCATTTGTTTCACATTAGTCGAAGGATCCAGTAGCAATAAGAAACATTCTTTATCTTTATGTTCTTCAATTCCAATACAAAGTCGACTGTGACCTAAAAGTTTAAAATCTGTTAAAATTGAGTTAAAACAGTGCACTTTTATAAAATTGATTGCAACATCACTGTGCAGTGATGTTAAAAAAATGAAACAAGTTTTTTCTTCATGTTATTGGTAGTATGAAAATGCATGCATGCGCATGTGTTGGTTGAATAAAAAAGTAAAAACTGACTTTAAAAAAAACTGACTATTTTCAGTTTTTTTTTTTTTTGATAGTAGTATTTTTTAATATTTATAGGCTGTTTATTGAAAAAAGACTTTTAGGGTAAGATGGCAAAATTTTCACAGGTCTTTTTAAAAAGTTGATTACTTCAAAAATTTTAATGCCAAAATGTTTATTTGGTGTACGCCCCAATAAGAAAAACGATTTTTTTTATACCATCATAAACAAAGTAAAAATTCATTGATAGATTTCAAATTTCAATAAAAATATTTCAGAGTTTAGAAGACATGATCATTTATAGAAACACTAGTCAAAGTTTTAAAAAATTAGAAAAAAAAAAAAAATTTCAGTTAAAAATCAAATTTGTTACTTATTTGCATTCACACTAGCATAATTAATACACTAAATATAATAAGATCCTAAAATGTATTGAGCTGGCAACTAGGGATCTTTTGTTAAGACTGATTGAACGCCAACATTAACTGTAATATCAAAGGTCTTTCCAACCTAATTGGCTTCTAATCTATCAAATTTGTAATTTATTTGCATTCACATTAGCATAATTAATACACTAATTATAATAAGAACCTAAAATGTATTGAACTGACAACTAGGGATTTTTTGCTAAGCCTGATTTAACTGTACACCACATTAACTGTAATCTCGAACTTCTTTCTGACTAATTGGGTTATGTTCAAGCTGCAAGATTTGCAAGATGTCTACTCTGCCGAAAAAAGGGAATCTTTATCATATTTTTATTTTTAATTTTTAATAGAAAAGTGAATTTTAACTCCAAAGAAACCAAGAATATTGGTGTTAACAGCTTAAAATGAATCCAAAATGTTCCAAGAAACTCTACAATAATGTTATACATCTATGTCTTCTGGTTGAAATAGGAGAGATATATGTGATGTAACTCCTCCTCAAGAACTTCATTTACTAATGCAGATTATAACAGAGATTTCAAAAGTAAATCTGATGTCTCAAGCTGTAGAATTTAGACTTTACTCAACCAAATCTTTAGCTTGTAATTTAACAAAAACTTTTTAAATTTTATGTAAATTATGTTATACCATTTGATATTATAAATTATATTATATTATACCTACATTTTAGATTTATATTTACACATGAAGATGATATTATATTATACCATTCTACAGATTGCATTTTATTATAATATACAATATAATATTATATTGGAGATTATCAGGGGTGTGGAGTCGTAAAAAAAAAAGTACCAGCTAGGACTCTAATTGTTGAAATTTTCAGAGTACGACACAGCAGAGTTGTTAACATGGCCAAAAGTAGTAAGGCCAAGGCCACAAGTTAGAAGGCCAAGGCCAAAAGTGACAAGACCAAGGACAAGGACAAGAATTTTGAGATCAAGACTTACGCAAAGATTTTTAAGACTTAAGACTCCAATTTTTGCAATACATTAAGGCCAATCACAAAACTGTAAGTAGCAAGTGCTGTGAAAATGAAACCACATTTTGTAAAAATAGACCAATGTTATGTTCAGAATTCAACAAAATCAATAACAAATATGTTTTTTTTTTCAAGGCTGGGCAAAAAAATGAAGGCCAAGGCCAAAATTTTCAAGACCAAGGTCAAGACCAAGGCCAAGGCCAACAGTTTCAAAGCCAAGGCCAAGGCCTAAATTTTTGTTTTGCAGAGTTGTTAGTCCTTAGCCTTGGCCGCAGCCAAAGACTAACAACTCTGTGACACAGACTCCAACTCTGACTCCAAAGCTAAATAAATATAGACAAAATATTTTTTTACAAATTTTTGAAAAATTCTTTGAATTTTGTAAATAATATTACGCAATAATTAAAAAGATGTTTTTTTTTTTTTTTACAAAATATATGAAAAATTTTTTGAAGGTTCTTTTTGTATATTTTGTAGATGTACATGCAAAACCGATGTGGTAGTGGTATAGTGGTAGAGCGCTTG